AGACCCTCAGGGGCGAGCAAGTACAAGAGAATTTTAGAGTCTTGTCTTCTCCCTTCTGCTGAAAGGATGCAAATCGACCCCACCAAGCTCATTTTTATGCAGGATAATGTTCCCTGTCACAAATCAAAATTGATGAAGGAATACTTTGATGAGAAGCAGGTGAGTGTTATGACATGGCCGCCCCAATCTCCTGACCTCAACCCTATAGAAAACTTATAGAGCATTATAAAGTACAGGATCTCGAGAAAGCAGTTGAGCAACAAAGAGGATTTGATTGTGAATTTCATATCCGAATGGAATTCAATTCTTGGAGATGAGATTTGCCAGAACCTAATCAAGTCAATGCCAAAAAGGGTTGAAAAGGTTATTCAAAATAAAGGAGGACCCATAGATTATTAAATATTTCGAACTATATTACATATTATAAATAAATTATACCTCTATTATTCTTTATTTAAAGCTGTTCGGTTACGTTTCTATTGATTACTAGTTGCAGGAAATAAGTGAGTCCCTTTCTTGCCTAAATCTCATTTATATCCCAAATTATAATTATAAATAGAATACATTAGGTTGAGTAAATTTAATTAATTTAATCTAATTAATTTCATGAAATTAAATTTTCATCCAAAATATTTTTTGTTAGTTAAAAGCAGGACTTCTTGGAGAATGTCAATCATCAAATTTCTTTTTTCAAATCTGCTCCAAATCGTAAAATAAAAAAAAAAAATCAATATATCTATGATATTATTTAATTAGAAAATCTTTTCATTGCTTTTATAAATAAGATTAATTAATGACACTTGAGGTAAGAAAAAAAATTTCGCTAACTTTTTTACAAAAGTCTCTTTAATTTTTTTAAATTTTTATGATAATCATTTATAATATATAAATCTTTTAAAATTCTGCATACTTTTTCATCCAGTTAGATGATATTGTTATTGAATGAAAACTATATTTACTAATCAAAAAATTATGCTTTAACGAATAAACTCTCCGTAGAACAAAATTAAAAACTGTCAAGAACTTTATCAGTAATTGTTACGTGACTGATGAGTGGTAAGAAGTACGTAATCACAGATACTATTTGTTTTAAAAATGCATTTCTCTGTTATTTTAAGCTAAAATAAATAATATATTTTTTCAAATTAGATTGATTATACTTTAAATCAGCTAATATTTCTCAAATAAAATTTCAGAAAAGTATATTTTTTGTTTGGAAGATTTTTTTTTTTTTTAATACAGAGAATTACATTGCGATAAAAGACGACAAAAAGGGGAGCTAATCAGCTATTTTCACAAATTCCCGTGCCGGCGCGTGACGTCGTCTCGTCGCGTCGTCTTCTCCGCGTCCGGACGCCAAAATCTGGGCGCGCGGGAGGGCACTGCCAGCGCGGTAGGTCGGCGTCTAACTGTGCCGCCCGTCACCTCGGGTCCGCGACGTGCATCGGCAACCCACCGAGGAGTCCTGGCCGTTCGCGATTCCACCCAATACAATTTCTGTTTGAAATACACTACAGAGTATTTTTCTTAGTGAAAATAGTAAATTTAACCCTTTATCTTTCAATTGAATCTAAAATGAATGCTCCAGGAAATCTTTTTCATTTTTAAATTTAATTTAAAACCAAAGTATCGAAAATTAGTAGAGGTACCTAGATGTCGAATTTTTAAAAAAATATATACTCGTTTTACTATAATTACTATAATTTCCTTCCGATTTTCTAAATAAATAATTAATATTTCCTATAATAAATTGTGAGGCATTCTACTGAACTACTTGTCGACTACATTTAATATATATTTTTCGTCTTCTAAGTGGAGACTTATTTATCGTTTTCTGTAAATAAATTCCTACAAATAAACTTTCCATATGAATATTAAATAATTTACTATAATTCCTATAACTCTATAATTTTCCTATAGAAAAATAAGAAATACATTACGCGAATTAATTTATCTATATAAATAATAAATAATGTTACTATAATAAACTGTATCATTCTCTACAGGGATAAACATGTCGACTTCTTTTTAATATATAATCATCTTACTATAATTATTAAATATCCTCTTAATTTTCTATATAAATAATGAATATTTTCCTATAATTCCCATAATACTATATTTATCTATATAAATAAGATAGCATATTCTATAATAAAGTGTATCATCTTCTACAGGCATATACTTGTCAACTTTTAAATATATAATCGTCTTATTATAATTATTATAATATCCTCGTATTTTTCTATATAAATAATTAATATTTTCTGTAATAAATTGTGACGCATTCTACTTAGGTACTTGTCGAATACATTTTAATGTATGTTCGTCTTCTAAGAAGTGACATATTTATCGTTTTCTATAAAGAAATTCCTATAAATAAATTTTCAATATAAATAATAAATAATTTAAATTCCTATAAATCTGTAATTTTATTTTAAAATAAATAATATCCTATAATAAATTGTGCCGCCTTCTACAGAGGTACTTGTCGACTAAATTTTAAAATATAGATTCGTCTTCTAAAGAGAGATATTTTAATTTCTATAATAAATTGCTCCTAATTTTCTGTATAAATAATAAATCATTTTACTATAGTAAACTGTGTCACCTTCTACAGAGTTACTTGTCGACTACTTTTTAATATATATTTCTATAAATAAATTTCTTATTATTTATTTTAAGATATTATATCAAAAGCATAATAAAATCGCTACACAATTACGATCGTGTTTCGACGTATATCAATGCGTCTCCTCAGATTCACGGCGTGTGAACGATTGATTTCATTTCGAAAGCAAAATACCTCCTCCTTTTTTTCAAAAAAATATAGGCTTGAAGGCTATAGCTTTACCTTACGAATCGAAAATGATCTACGTTAAATTCAAACTAAGCAAAATAACTAACGAAAAAGAATAAATTTTGTTTAGTATTTTGACTTGACATGGAGTTGTCTAAAATAGATCGCAGATATTAGATACCGATAGATATGTTAATTCGTAAAGTGTATGCAAATTAGATAATCAACTTCCCCAAGAAATGAAAGCGGTTTTGGTAAGGAGGTAATTTAATATAATACAAACTTGTTACATGCAATATATATATATATATATATATATATATATATATATATATATATATATATATACTTTGTAGTTGATGAATAAGAGGCCACTTAAAAAAAGTTAGTAAATAATTGAAACATAGAATTATTTGGCAAATTAATTTGCAAACCGTTAAAAAAGAGCATGCATTTAAGATGTTAATAATACCAACCAATCAGTGTAAGATAGTAATAATACTAATTAGAATAATGAATATTTCTGTAATAGATTGTGTCACCATGTACAGTCGACTACGTTTTTTTTTCAATATATTCGTTTTCTAAAGAAGAGAGATTTATACCGTTTTCAGTAAAAACAAAAGGCATTGATTATTCGAAGTTCTGCACAGTTCAGAAATTCTAACCGAATGACCAAACGTCAGAATACGACTATTTTTATATTTTCCAACAGAAGGCAATCGGTGCCGTAAATATCACGACATCTCTAGCCTTCTCTCTCTCTCCCTCTCTCTCTCTCCCTCTCTCTCTCTCTCCCTCTCTCTTTTTCTCTCTCTCTCTCTCTCTCTTTCCACTTTCTTAGGTCTGTTTCATTCTCTTCGAGTCTTTCTACATATGTGCCTTTTACTCTATCTATCTATCTATCTATCTATCTATCTATCTATCTATCTATATATATATATATATATATATATATATATATATATATAGATATATATATATATATATCTGTTCTATATATATCTATCTATATATATATATATATATATATATATATATATATATATATATATATATATATATATAGAGAGAGAGAGAGAGAGATAATATTAGTGGAAAATATACATACATATGCAAAATATATATAAAAAATACCCATACATGCATATTTTCAGAAAAAAAAATTTTCCAAGAGGAAGAATCCAGGTAGAACTCAATGTCTAGGACAGAGTAAGGATATAATAAAAAGGCTTAAACACTAATATTCCATGGTCATAATTTATTGCTTCTGTTCATATCTATCTATCTATCTATCGATCTATCTATCTATCTATCTATCTATATATCTATATATATATATATATATATATATATATATGCTTCTGTTTAATATCTATCTATCTGTCTATATCTATCGATATATATATATATACACACACACACATATATATGTATTGCTTCTGTTCATTATCTCTCTCTCTCTCTCTCTCTCTCTCTCTCTCTCTATATATATATATATATATATATATATATATATATGCTTCTGTTCCTTATAAAACTATCTAACTATCTATCTATATATATGCTTCTATTCATATCTATTAGGTTGGTGCAAAATAATGACGTAATCATGTCGTTTTTGACGTTAAAAATACGTCCAAAACGACATTATTACGTCATTATTTTTATTCTATTATTCATCTATTCTATCTATCTATCTATTCATCTATCTATATCTATCGATATATATATATATATTGCATCTATTTATATCATTCATCTATCTATCTATCTATATATATATATATATATATATATATATATTGCTTCTGTTCATATCTATCTATCTATCTATCTATCTATCGATATATATATATATTGCATCTGTTGATATCTATCTATCTATCTCTATCTATCTATCTATCTATATATATATATATATATATATATATATATATATATATATATATATTATTTGTTCATATCTATCTATCTATCTATCTATCTATCTGCCGTGTTGAATAGACATATTTCTACATCACTTCATTATTTAAGTCGTTATTCCCAAGGGCTCTGTCCTTGGATCTACGATGTTTCTTCCCTTAAACAACGCCCCTTCCTGATACCACTGATTCCCAAGTAGATATTGATATAATTATGTACCAAGTAGTTTACGTTTTCAGGAAAAGGTAAAATTTGATGAGGATAGATAGATTGATCAAAACAATAGATAGAGATAAATGGATAGATACAGATGAGATAGATAGATAGATAGATAGACCTGAAGATAGATAGATAAATGATAGATAAATATAGATAGGGAAGGAAAAAATGATCTCAGGATAGATAGATAGATAGATAGATAGATGATCTCAGGATAGATAGATAGATAGATAGATAGATAGATAGATAAATTTTTGATAAATATGCAGAAAAATGATCTCAGTATAGATAGATAGATATAGATAGATAGATAGATAGATAGATAGATACAAAGTTGTCTGACGATAGATAGATAGATAGATAGATAGATAGATAGATAGATAGGAAGTGACTGGGGATGAGGATAGATAGATAGATAGATAGATAGATAGATAGATAGATAGATAGATAGATAAATAAAGTTTTGATAAATAGATAGAAAAAATGATCTCAGTATAGATAGATAGATAGATAGATAGATAGATAGATAGATAGATAGATAGAAAGAAAGTTGTCTGACAATAGATAGATAGATAGATAGATAGATAGATGGCCAGATAGATTTTGATAAATATGTAGAAAAAATGATCTCAGGATAGATAGATAGATAGATAGATAGATGATAGATAGATTTGATAAATAGAAAAAATGATCTCAGAGGATAGGATAGATAGATGAATGAGTTTTGATAAATAGAAAAAATGATCTCAGGATAGATAGATAGATAGATAGATAGATAGATAGAAAGTTGTCTGACATTAGATAGATAGATAGATAGATAGAAAGTGACCTGAGGATAGATAGATAGATAGATAGATAGATAGATAGATAGATAGAAAAATGATCAGGATAGATAGATAGATAGATAGATAGATTGATGATAGATGATAATAGATAGATAGATAGATAGATAGATAGATAGATAGATAGATAGATAGATAGATGGCCAGAGTTTTGATAAATATGTAGAAAAAATGATCTCAGGATAGACAGATAGATAGATAGATAGATAAATTTTTGATAAATATGTAGAAAAAATGATCTCAGGATAGATAGATAGATAGATAGATAGATAGATAGATAGATAGATAGTCTGACAATAGATAGATAGATAGATAGATAGATAGATAGATAGATAGATAGATAGGAAGTGACCTGAGGATAGATAGATAGATAGATAGATAGATAGATAGATAGATAGATAGATAGATAGATAGAGTTTTGCTAAATAGATAGAAAAAATGATCTCAGTCTAGATAGATAGATAGAAAGTTGTCTGACATTACATAGATAGATAGATAGATAGATAAAGTTTTGATAAATAGATAGAAAAAATGATCTCAGTATAGATAGATAGATAGATAGATAGATAGATAGATAGATAGATAGATAGATCGTGATGAACTGTTGCTTGTAACAAAGAGTTACAGTGTAATAGTAAATGCTAAAAAAGTCATAACCATATTTGGCTACATGACCGTGTGTGTTTGACTCAAGAATCCGAGCGATGTAAAAAGAAAGCCCTGCATATTGAATAAATTTACAAATATATAAAAAAAAAGACTGTCCCGATAGATAGATCGATAGATAGAAAAAAGGGAAAAGAATGACTAAACATTTTTAAAAAAATCTAACAAACAAGCAATGAAAGATAATGCATCATAAATTACACGAGGATATTCGCGGTTCTATGTTTTTAGTCGGAACGAGTATGTTAAAATAGCCATTAGGGTGTGATGCGGTCATTTATTTTTCGGAACTTTTTATTCATTTTTTGCACGCTTTTCTTTTTCTTTTTTTGCTGATGGGCTTGGTTATTTGTTTTGTGGGTGATTTTTTTTTTGGGCGATTTTATCTCGTAATTTTTTTTAGGGGTGGACGTGACCAGATTCTTTTTTCTTACTTTTTTTATCTTCCATTTATTTAAAACAAAAATAAACCAGCTTTTCTTTTTTTTTTGTCTTTTGTTTGTTTGCATTGCAGACGAAGCCCGCTTTAAAAAGCCACCCGATTTCGTTCTATTGGGAGATGTACTGATTTACAATTCAAATCAACCAATTTAGCGGCCGGCTCCTTTGTGGAAAGTTCAAGCCGGGAATATTTGTGATATTGAATCGATATTCAATCAACTTGAGTCAACACCGAAACCAACAATAAAAATACAAATAAAATGAAGAATAAATATTCCTGTCCGCCAGGCCATTATTGATTACAGCGTCTTGTTTGCATCACGTGTTAGTATTTTGTTTATTTTTCTAACAATTTTATTTACGAACTGATATTCACACAAATCAGATATAGCTCATTCTGTAATTCGAGACTGACCGTAGGATCCAAGAGATTTAACCTTGCTTTGAAAATTACTGTAAGTCTTTTTTTTTTTAACTTTGTCGTTGACATATCATATTATGCAAGAATTTAAATTTTATGTTGACGTAAAAATTACTTTCAGTCCATTTAGTAAAAATCAAATTCTAACTTTGTTTTTCGACATTAGCTTTATGGAACGTTATATTTGGCACGATAAAGCAATGGATAGAGGCTCGGATTGAGGAATCGGAAAGCCGAGTTCGAATTCCAGTCGAATCCATTACTTATGTGCAAAGGTATGAATCTTCTTCTTCTCCCCGCATCCAGCTGTGGGTAAATAGCAGCCGGGTTCTCTAGCCTTGGATGGCAACTGGTCTACCAGTTTTCTACCGCAGAAAGAAATGGCAACGTAATGCGAGAAAAGGAGCAATGGATAGCGGCTCGGATTGAGGAATCGGAGAGCCGAGTTCGAATTCCAGTCGATTCCATTACATTCACTTACGAGCTAATAACCCTGGGAGAGGTATGAATCCTCTTCTTCTCCCCCCTAGCTATAGGTAAACAGCATGACAGGCCGGGTTCTATAGCCTTGGATGGCAACTGGTCTACCAGTTTTCTACCGCAGAAAGAAATGGCAACGTAATGCGAGAAAAGGAGCAATGGATAGCGGCTCGGATTGAGGAATCGGAGAGCCGAGTTCGAATTCCAGTCGATTCCATTACATTCACTTACGAGCTAATAACCCTGGGAGAGGTATGAATCCTCTTCTTCTCCCCCTAGCTATAGGTAAACAGCATGACAGGCCGGGTTCTATAGCCTTGGATGGCAACTGGTCTACCAGTTTTCTACCGCAGAAAGAAATGTCAACCTACTGCGGGAAAATGGAGTAATGGATAACGGCTCGGATTGAGGAATTGGAAAGCCGAGTCCATATCTATTACATTCACTTACGTGCTAATATACTTGGGAAAAGTATGAATCCCGTTCTTCTCCCCCAGCTATGGGTAAATAGCAGGACAGACCGGGTTCTATAGCCTTGGATGGCAACTGGTATACCGCAGAAAGAAATGGCAACATACTGCGGAGGAAAAATCTGCCTCGTCGAAAGATACATGATCGCCTAAACGTGTACCACGCATGGCACATAACCGACTGATATTTGGTAAACCAACATGTCCGATTCGTTTACTAACTAAAAAATGAAGGCCTCTATTTGACGTCATTCGTAGTACTGGACAACATACTGAGTAATCAAAACAGATCTTTTTATTAAGTAAATATATTAATAGAAAAACTGATTTTTTTAGACATGGACTTTATTGAAAATATATTGGGTAAACTAAATGTTAAAGGATCAGCAAATATGCTCGGTTATGAGGATCCCCTTAGTAAGCCTAGCATAGAAATAAATACAATATGGGAGCCGCTAATAAAGAAAAAAAAAACAGACAAATGACAAAGCCAAACTGGTTCCATCATCACTCATTAAACCTTGAATATTCGTCTCACGCAATGCGCATGTGTTCTCTCAAGGAGGCCCCTTTGCCTTGAAAGTTTATTGGAAATTACTTCATCCCTAACTTCAAGAGGAACACGTATATAAGATCCATCGCTGTACAAAATCCCTGTACCAGCCTAGTAAGTACCTGATTCCCCTTGCTAACTTCTAACATAGTACGACCGAAAATGGATTAAGCTCATTTCTGTCTGAAGTTTTGGGGATAAGGAATTATCATTGTTTTATATTCGGACGAATGTCTGTATCTTTGTTGTTTTTATCACAACGTTTCGTCCTTTGAACCCTCCGGCCTTCCTCAGGTTTATATTGATCTTGGTAACTTCCAGGGAATTCTGAACTGAAACCTTTATTTAATTTACAAGAGAAGACTGTTCTTGTTCTACTGCTCACGAAGTGAAAAAAAGGACATTAAAGAAGACAAGAGAGATAGACATCTGTAATACCTGGCTATGAGAACCTCCTTGTTAGTCTTAGCTTAGAAATAGATACAATATGAGAGCCGTTAATAAAGAAAAACAGACATATGACAAGGTTTTCAACAGTGGCAGCAGCTGTTGCCACTCTGGTAAGCAGGTAGGTTAGGTTTAAAGTGCCAAGTTACTGACTGGTCACATTAAATACCTCAAAAACCAAACTAGTCCCATCAACACTGAGTAAACCTTGAATTTTCATCTATCGCAATGCACCATCGTTTCGTTTGATTTGTTTTGTTTTGTTTTGTTTTACGGTATATCAACCTCAATGGGTTATTTAATGCCGACAAGATTTTAATTGCTGGTAAGATTTTTTTTCAGAAATGTATTCCAGGTAATTTTTTTTTAAATGTATTGCTGGCAATATATATATATATATATATATATATATATATATATATATATATATATATATATATATATATAAAAAATGTATTCCTGGTAATTGTTTTTAAACGTTTATCGTTTGTAAAAATGTATCGTTGATAATAATTTTTCTTCAAAAATTTATTGATGGCAATAATTTTTTCAAAATTCTGGTATTAAAAACCTATTTTTACACTTTCATAGTGTTTTGCCCTCAGTTTGGGGCTTAACTATTTACCTGTATCTGGGACACTAACAAATGCTACTACTCCGGGTCATGGTGGACCTGGGAACACTAGCAATAAAGAGGTTGTTCCATGCTCCTCAAAACATCCTCATCAGTGGCTTTTCTGTTGGATGTAGTTTATCGTCTTACCCCGGACACGGATTTTTTTTATCGTCTTACCCAGGACGCGGATATAGTTTATCGTCTTCCCCGGGATGCAAATGTATTTTTTCGTCTTACCCAGAACGCGGATGTAGTTTATCGGCTTCCACAGGATGCGCATGTATTTTATCGTCCTACCCAGCACGCGGATGTAGTTTATCGTCATATCCAGGACGCACAACGTTTCGTCCAGCCTTCCTCGTGTGTATATCGATGTGGGTAACCTGCAGGAAATTCCGAACTACTATTTAATCTACAGGCAAAGACTGTTCTCTTTTCATTGCTTATGAATCGAAAATACTGAACAGGGAAGAACAATGGAGAGCTAGACGTCTGCAATGCTAGACTGAGGATACCCTTAGTAGGCCTAGCATAGAAATACATGCAACATGGGAGCCATTAATAAAGAAAGAAGAAAGACTTCAACCATAGCAGCAGTAATAAAAACCATGAGCCATGGTAGCAATCAGAGCATGACAGCCAGCAGCAGCAGTGGCAGCCTAATCAGCAATGAAAGGTTTAAAGATATATATTTATAGAATTAGTATGCTTTTGTTTGTAAATTTGGTGATATCGTGGTTGGGAGTTTAATTGTGAGTGTCCTTTTACTCAGTGGAATCGGTTAGATAACAAATGAACAGTGCTAAATAAAAATAAGAAAAAGAAACTTTGATTTAACATCAGGAAGAGGCAGTTTAAATTTCTGGAGTACGAAATAAGGAAGGAGGGCTTGGAAAATCTGACACTCGTAGGAAAGTTTGATGGAAAGCGGAACAGATGAAATCAGTATTTACATTAGTCGGACTATTGTCCTCATCTTTGTCGCCATATTTGTCACAACGTTTCGGCCGTTGTACGCTCCGGCCTTCTTCAGGTGGTTGGAATTTCGAACTGAACCCTTTATTTCGATCACATGGCACAGTGGATAAAGGCGTTGGTTAGATCCAGTGACAAACCCAAAGAAGGTGAGCTCAATTCCTGGTTAAGGCAGTGGAGAACTTTCAGAGGGAAAATTAGCAGGAGATAACTGATAACTGACATCCATCAAACATGGCACGTGGAACTAGAACAGTCTACCCCAGTGATCGAAATAAAGGGTTCAGTTCGAAATTCCAACCACCTGAAGAAGGCCGGAGCGTACAACGGCCGAAACGTTGTGACAAATATGGCGACAAAGATGAGGACAATAGTCCGACTAATGTAAATAATGTACATAATACCTCATCTCAGAAATATAGACAGACTCAGATGAAATCAGCGCGTAACATACTTGACGAGCTTTGGAAAATGGATTGTAGAACAGGTTTTGGGAGAAATGACAAAGAATAACACTTATTAAGAGCTACAAAAGACATGAAGATGTGGAGGGTCATGATTTTTTACGTCTTGAAAGGACATAGCACAGAAAAGAAAGATGAATCTTTGAGAAGATATTGACTAATCAAAATCATTCCGCCAGTTTATTAATTAAAAATACCACGCATTACTTTACACGCAAACAGAGTGACACAGCAGACAGAGATGAGCTGTGAGCTCGCAGACCAGCCTCGCAGGAGCTGACTGAAAGTTTTCCACGCATTCCGACTTAGACTTCTAACCAAAAACAATTTTTTTGAAGAACAACTTAGACTCATACCACCAAAACAAGTTTTACGAATATCGCCTGAAGATACCAAAAAACAGTTATTGAAAAACAACTTAAGATATTAAGACTCGCCTAAGAAACGCAAAGTGTCACGTATCCATAGAAGCGGGTTGGGAGAAAGATGCAGTCCTGTATTCAGCAACCAGATATAAAAATATCTGTTATTCTTTTTTTTTTAACACATTTGAATCTTTCGGGTTGTTACTTTATTTTCTTTAACATATACTTGTGCGGTGTCACATTTGCTCGAATTCGGTTTGCACTACGGCCCGACGACTGATTGATTTCGTCTACCTAAGATCAAATCACAACGTGGGTAGGTTAGACTAGAAATCAAAGCAGTTACTTCGGTAAGCAGACGTTGGAGGCGAGCTGGGAACGACAAAGCTGATACCGAATCTAACCAGATTCCCATCCGAATCAGCAAAGGGTTAGAACGTCACATTTGCGGCCGCGACCAATACCAAGTCACATTGTTCGTCACAGGATAGCACGGGGGCAGAGGCGCAGGGTGACGTCACAATAGAGTAAAAACAAAACAGATTTTTGAGAACATATTGATGAAGCAAAATCATTCGGTCAGTTTATTAACTAAAAAAGTACCACACTTTACTTTAGACCTAAACAATGTGTTATAAATAATCAAGAGCAATATCTCCGTTTTAGTTATTCTAGTCTTTGAGAGAGAATTTTCTGTCTACTGAGACTATAAAATGAACAATACGCGAACCTTATATTCTCAATTGAATAAAGCTTTCTTAAAACCTCCACCTGCGTACTTTAGACCTTAACTATTTAAAACAATATTGAGTGTAAGCAAATCATAGATTTTTGAGAAGATATTGACAAATTAAAATAATTCAGTCAGTTTATTAATTAAAACCCCCCCCCATTACTTTACACCTTATCTATCTAACACAGTGTATAGACTAAAATCAAATCAGATTTTTGAGAACATATTGATGAAGCAATAACATTCGGGTAGTTTATTAACGAAAAATACCACACATTACTTTATTTAACCTAAACTGTTATGAATAATCAAGAGCAGTCTCCTCGTTTTCGTTATTCTAGTCTTTGAGAGATATATTTCTGTTTACTGGGACTATAAAAGAACACTATACACGAACCTTGTATTCTTAGTTGAATAAAGTTTTCTTAAAGCCTACACCTGCGCACTTTTTTTACACTATGTAAAACAACATAGGGTGTAAGAAAAACATAGATTTTTGAGAAGATATGGACGAAACAAAATCATTCGGACTGTTTATTAAGGAAAAATACCACGCATTAATTTAGACCATAACTATGTAAAATAAAACGGAGTGTAACGAAAACATAGTTGGTTCTATTTATGCTACAACTGTTATGCTGTACGTTTTCACTTCGTATTTTACCAACCCAGCGGTAGTTGTTTATCTTACATATCGATATATATATATATATATATATATATATATATATATATATATATATAACCTTGTGCAAATTAATTGAAGGAAAAATTATTATTATTTTTTTCGTATTTTTCCAATGAAACATGACCCAGTACACGTGCTAGTATTTCGTATGCCGATTCCACGAAGTCGTTCCTTGCAGATTGACCACGGATTCTCCATTCGATTTAAATCAGGAGAATTTCATGGCCAGTCTATAGTACTTTGATTTGCTCCCTTGTAAGGCTTGCCAGCGTGTTATGCAGCGTTACAATTTTCGTACGCTTCCTTGGAGTAACATCCATCGCAAACAACTAATCGACAGTCGAAACAATAGTGTCTGGGCGCTAGAAAAATCTGATGCAATTACGGACGATGTAATATTTTTCAAGGCGAAAGGAATTTTATCATACACCACGAAAATAGATTTATATTACTACACACCACTGTAAATGAACTAATCTGAGGAAAATATAGAAATCGATTACACCCTGTCACTCCAGTGGGTTTAAAACTGACCGTATGGTGAAAGAAAGGAAACTGAAGCGGCTGTTTCAATTCATTTGCATATGGGTGAACAAAACATTTATTTTAGATATTAAGTATTTTAAGAACCATAATAAGTAAGTAAAATATCTTTCTGCATATTTTGTAAACGTATAGCTATTAATTGAGGTGTTATCATTCTTGAATAACATATTGGTTAACCAAAATACTTCGTTCAATTTAATAAAATCAATTTAATAATAGACAATTCGTTTTAATTTTATGGCTATATTGATGAAAATATTTTCAGTTTTGTTCTTGACATGACAATCCAAGAAGAGAATGCATATTTAAGCAATTAGTGTTTGGTCTACAGTCCATATGCCATTGTATTTAAACGTGCACCCAAAATGCAAGGTATCCCTGGGTATGACGATAAACTACATCCAGCAGCAAGGCGTTGGATCAAGAGATTCAAGGCTCTGAGGTGCGTGGAACCATTGTTTCTCTTGTTCCTAGGCTTATCCTGACGCTGGAAGGTAACACAATTTTAGAATCCCCGCTATGGGCAAATAATAAATCCCACCAAACAAGACACAATGAAATTATAAAAATAGATTTTTTATAATAAAAATACTGTAAGACTTCTTGGATTGCAAAGGAAATATTTGTCGCAGATTACTTCCCCAACGAAGAGAACAAATCACAGGTTCAAACTAGAATATCAGGGGCAGAAAGAAATGTCGAAATCTCGATTTGCAGGTACTATGCCGGAAATCACAATACATTCAGAAAAAAAATGACTCACTTACCGACGCCCGACGAATACACGAATTTCGTCTTTCCCCACCAGATTCGAGAATACCTTTTATCTACCGAGCATTTTTTTTCATTCACCGACAACTGGGAGAAGACGCACAGTATTAGCATCTCAAAATACTTTTATGGCGACTACTGCAACTGACTTGCTTCTAATTTTAATATTCCGTCTTCAGCATATCAGGCAGAATACGTGCCCTTTTTTGGCAAGGACTTTTCTTTTTCCGTCATAGGATACACGCGACACGCTGCCGCATGAGTTGACGTTCACCGTTTTCTTCGCTATAAATACCAGCAATAATTTTTCCAATACGCGCATGCTAACAAATTGTAGCGACTTAACTCAAATCCATTTGAAATACTCTCAAGCAACCAACATGACAGAACTTTTTCTTGACATTAATCCATATATCCTAATCCATTAATCCATATAATAGCCTATAAATTCTTAAAGAAATCAAACACACATAATACCTTCGATACTAATTATCTGCACAAAAACATATATATACACAAAAGCTGAGTATCATCTACCATGTATTCAATTGTGAAAGTAGAATAACATATATCATATTTTTATTACTTCCAAGCTCCCGAGAAAATTAAATTCGCCATTAAATGAGACATAAGGAGTTGATATGCCGTTAGATAAATCAACCAATCAAAAATGCAGTATTAATGTGGGTTTATCAGCAGCACGGTGTAAAAATTCTTAAAGCCCCTCCTCCCATTTAAACATTTTAGGGACGCCTTATGCGCTAGGCAGTAAATAGCGCCCTCTCCCCATCGTAAAGGAGAGTTACTACTTGGATGAGAGTAGATTGGGGCTTGAGAAAGGTCAGTTTAATGTGGGGAGCCCGAGCGTGAACGCGGACCAGGACCGTCGGTTGCAATGTATTGCTACCGACCACCCACTTTAGTGCAATTTAGGCGTACCAGCTCGGGCAGCTGTTCCCCGAGACCTGGCAGCTGTTCCCCGGGACCGGGCAGCTTTTCCCTGAGAAACTTACAGCTGTTCCCCGAGACCGGGCAACTCTTCCCGAGAACAGGCAGCTATTCCCCTGGGGCGGGCAGCTGTTACCCGGGACCGGGCAGCTGTTCCCCGACACCTGGCAGCTGTTCCCCGGGACCGGGTAGCTGTTCCTCGAGACCTGGCAGCTGTTCCCCGAAACCTGGCAGTTGTTCCCCGAGACCGGGTAACTCTTCCCGAGAACAGGCAGCTATTCCCCGGGGGCGGGCAGCTGTTACCTGAGAACTGGCAGCTGTTCCCAGGGACTGGGTAGCTCTTCCCCAAGACCTGGCAATTGTTCCCCGGGACCGGGCAACTCTTCCCGAGACCTGGCAGCTGTTCCCCGGGACCGGGCAGCTGTTCCTCGAGACCTGGCAGCTGTTCCCCGAAACCTAGCAGCTGTACCGCGAGACCTGGCAGCTGTTCCCCGAGACCGGGCAACTCTTCCCGAGAACAGGCAGCTATTCCCCGGGGGCGGGCAGCTGTTACCCGAGAACTGGCAGCTGTTCCCAGGGACTGGGTAGCTCTTCCCCAAGACCTGGAAATTGTTCCCCGGGACCGGGCAACTCTTCCCGAGACCTGGTAGATGTTCCCCGAGACCTGGCACCTCTCAATATTTTTTTCCTTTGCGCTCTCTCCATAGAGAGAGAAACAAATGTGTTGCGCTCTACACAAAGTCAGAAACGCAACTGATAGCTCCCCACAGTACGAATAGGGCAAGTACCATAGAAACTACTTTATGTAGCGCGGTTATAATTGGTGTCTACTAATACACGTGTACTAATCAGTGGTAGCACTAACCAAGCATCCTATTTTTTGTTATCATTGAAGCAAACATCAAAATTCTATCATTCCACAACTTTGACCTTCTGGCTAAAGAACTGCTCGGATGTATATAGAGAAAATATTGCTGTTAACACAGTACAAAAACTGTATTGTTTCAATATTAATTCCCTTTATTTACAACATTGTTTGGGCTGTTGTCCTCATTGTTGTTGCCATATTCACGACGTTTCGGCCGTTGTACGCTCCGGTCTTCTTCAAGTGATTGGAATTTAGAGCCAAACACTTTTCGAGCCGAACGCCGAAGAATAGAACGGTCAAAATAATGTAAATAGTGTAAACATGACACGTGTTCTGACGAGCTAAATTCCTTAGCCACCCTACTAACAACTACAAGTGGGACCCTCGAAGCAACCTAAACAAGAAAAAATCATACCCATTCCTTTCGTATTTCTATGGTAAGGAGCGTGTACCATTCAGGCAGCTGTGTACGAACGGTGGATTTATGCGACAGGAAGCCGGTAGGATGGTTTTCCAATCATGACGTCTTGAACTCGAGGGTTAATCGTTATCTTTCTTTCATAACCCCAAGAATTTTACGTCCTGATCTATATTATGCCCATAAAGCACCACACACTATATGAGCACGGAGTGGTTAGAACGTTCATATTCGGATCATGAGACCCGGGTTCGAATTTCACCATGGTCGATTTGTCAGGAAGGAAAAGTCCTGATGTGATCGAACTGGAGGGCTCGATCCCAGCGTGCAGCACATTTGGAAAGCGCCTGAAAACAATACCAGGCCCTGAAATTGGGTAGACGGAACCCTTGGGGGCTGTCGATAGCTGTCCAAGCACAAAGTCACAAGTCATCGTACCCGAGGTCTTGAGCGTGCTGGTCTTGTTCAAATTGTTGATCACGCTAGATAACACGCTCTTTCCCAGAAACTGTAACTAAGGTCTGTTCAGTATAGTTGCAGTATAAACCACAGGTGGGCTCTTTGGGTGAGGGTCTGCAATAAGGATTGTCTAGCCGCCCTAGTAGACGGGTATGCTCGACTGAGAGGGGTCAGCTTTGCAACACCATACGGTAACCATCTACCTTGAGTGGCTCTTGAGCCTTGTATCGGGCGAAGATTAGCTTTTAAAAAAAGCTTCCATTGATATATGGCGATGAATTCAGCATCGTTTCGAAAGTGCGATGGCTTTCTACATAATTTTGCATTTTTTTAGATTATTATCTTTCCAGACGTGTATGTGTAGTCTATTCATTACCGACTCGGTCTTTTCTGAATTGTTATTGCGAGAGTGGGGAAAAAAACTATACCTATGTATGATACATAGCACGGCGGAGTAATGGATAGCGGCTAGGATTGAGGAATCGGAGAGCCGAGTTCGAATTCCAATCGAATCCATTGTATTCACTTACGTGCTAATGCCCTTGGGAAAGGTGTAAATCCTCTTCTTCTCCCTCCAGCTATGGGTAAATAGCAGACTGGGTTCTATAGCCTTGCAACTGGTCTAGGAGAAGGAAAACTCTGAATTCAAAACCTGCTGAGGGTCGTTTGGGGACCTTGTGGCACGTAGTGCACCAGATCTCTGTATTCGGCCCTTCAAAAAGTGTGGATGGTCCTGCACGAAACCTTCACCACTATAATCAAATCTCATGTGCTATACATGCAGGTTGGGGACCGCTTGTGAATTCCAAATTCCCATGAAACTCCAATATTGAGGCCGGTTCAACCCACCCCGGGTGAATGCCGTTACAGGTATGTTTGATACACTAAACTAAAGCATTTATAAAATACGACATAAAGTTACATTTGAACTGTGAAGAAAACTTTATTTATTTGTTAAATATATTTGAATAGTGACTGCAAGCAAAAAGCCTACATAAGGATTTACTCAAACATAAAGCAAGACGGAAGACACACCAAACTACTCTACTTATACAACGAGGCGTTTCCTGATAGAACTACAAGTTCTACCAGGATTTATTATAGTTGAGACTGTGCTGATCGCAGTTATAGGAATAAAACAGCAGAATTACTTAGACAAAGGGGTAACTAATGCTAGAAGAAAGGAAATGGACATTAATCTTAAGAATTTACATTATTTACATTGTTACTGTTGTCCTCGGCTTTATTGCCACATTCACGACGTTTCGGTGGTATTGAGATCCGGCCATCTTCAGGTGAATGGAATTTCGAACTGAACCCTTTATTTTGTCGACCAGCGTACACTGTTCTAGTTCAATGTGCCATGCCTCTTCCTGATGTCTCAGTTATCTCCCTTAATTCAACACTCCAAAAGAGGATAAAAGCATTGGTTGGATCTAGTGACTTGATCCAAAGAGTTGTGAGTTCAATACCAGGCTACTCCAGTGGTGAACAAAAACTTTTAAGAAAAAAGAAAGTAAGTTTTGTTTAATCTTGTTCCCCAATTCAGCAAATTAAAACTTTTTATTTTTATTCTAATTTTTAAAAATAAGTTTCTTATCATTTAACGACAGTTGTCAGAAAATGGCGTCGATTGATGATTAGAAAAGTGAAATACGGTAGGACGTATATGACAAAATATTCGCGACTACATGTCCTGGATCCAAGTGACCCTTCGCCACTGCTTTAGATGTAAATTAAAAACTGGAGATACTAAAACAAAACAAGTCCAACAATTTAAATATCGGGGTGTTTATTTAACAGAGAATGTAAAGTGCGTCACTCGAAATCCGATGGTCCATTAAAATAGCAAAACATACCATCGAAAATTTTAAAAAAAATTAAAGAATCTGGAACATTTCGTTAGAAAAAAAAGAAAAGAGTACTGAAATGTTATGTAATGTCAGTCCAATATGGCAGTGATTGCATGGAAATTTCTTTACAGAAGAGGAGACTTGAAGCAACAAAAACAAAGAAAAGAGGGCTGAATTTCAATGTAACATTAATGCGTCCATATGTCAGTGAATGCTGGACAATTGCTTCAGAGCGAGAGAGGAGATTTGGAGCAACAGAAACAAAAAAGAGAGCTGAACTGCTATGTAATATCAATCCTTCTATATGGCAGTTAATGCTAGACAATTTCCTCATAGATGAAGCGGAAAATTGAAGTTAATGAAACAAAGAAAAGAGAGCTGAAATTCTATGTCATATCAACCATTCTATATGTCAGTGACTGTTGGACAATCTCTTCACCGATGAGGACGTTACTTGAACGAACAGAAACAAAAAAACAAGTTAGCTAAACTACTATGTAATAGCAATTCTACTGGTTGGCCGTGAATGCTGGACAATTTCTTCACGGGGTTAAGAGGAGACATGAAGCATCAGTAACAAAGAAAAGAGAGCTGAAATGCTGCACAATCTCCACGTAGATAAAGACATGACTTGAAGCAACAGAACGTGGATACTGAGAATAGCATGGACACAACATGTGATGACACTTAGGAAGAGATTACTCAGATTTATAGGACACATAAGGGGCCACCTCGATGTGGTGTAATGGTTAGAAACCTTGTATTGCTAGATCATTTACGACTGAGTAGTGAATTCGATCCTCACTGGGTGCCCCATGCTTTCGGCCTTGTGCCACATCTAAGCTGGGCTTAGAAAATCATTATAGGACACATAAGGAGGAAAGAGAGTTGGGAGATTTAAAGACTCACATGGCGTATGGACGTTAGGATTGGTATATGGAAATAGCAAGGAACTTTTGTAACTAGGGAGGAGAGATAGTAAATGGGCACACATTTGATAGAGCTAAAAATGATAGGAAATCGCGGAGAGCCATGCCCACCCACATCATATAGAAGAGTCATAGAACACCATCACTTTATTTATTTTATTCTAAAACTTTGATATTTTTAGTAATGAAGCGAGAGCAAGGTTCGCTCTTATATTGAAAATATACAGTACTGAAAACCATAAGTCAGTTGTATGATTTATCTAAATAAGACTTGACACCGAAGTTAAGCAACGTCGACCCTGGATCAGTGTCTAGATGAGTGACGGCTTGGAATAATTGGATGTGCAGGTTGTGATAATGGTTCGAAAGTGGAACTCGCAGAACCGAGTTCCAGTTACAGTCGGGTTCGTTACATACGCTTACACGCAAATACAACTGGGAAATGTATGAATCAATCTCTATTCCCCAGCTATGGATTAAATAGTAGGACTTCTAACAGTAAATCGTTATCATCTCCAAAAGAATCTTACAATCCGAAAAACTATTGATAAGTCGGAAAATACATCAACATTTAACCTTTTTGTATTCAGACTATTATCTTCGTCTTTATTGTTTTTTATCACGTTTCGGCCGTTGTACACTCCGGCCTTCGTCAGGTTAACCTACTGGTAATTCCGGACTTAACACTTTATTTAATCTACGGGGTAGACTGTTCTCGTTCTACTAGTCATGTCTAGGGATATCTTGTCTTCTCATTTTATTTAGCACTGTTCAGCTATTGCTCGCCCGTTTCCACTGAGCGTATGGACACACTGTCCGACCCAGAGTTTGAACTCACAACCACTTAGTCACCAAATTTACAAAACAAGCCACTAGACAAGTGTCAGTCAATCTAAACAGAATTTTTTGTTTTTAATGATTTCACCCCAAGCAAAGCAATAAAGCCTCTAAGATACATGGAGTTACTGCGTGTGAAAGAGTAAGCAAAAAGTAACATTATCAAGGAGTTAGAACGATAATGAAGAAGACAGTAGATGACGATTGAACGATTGAGAAGGAACTATTGACATAGAACTTACGGCTGAATATAGCGATTTCAGCAGTAATTTCATGTGATCTAGTACAGTACCTAAAGTCATAAATTCTAGCTACCATAGCGGAGAATTCAACCGAACAATTACCACGAAGGTATTTATAGAAAGGGACAGGGATGTTTTATTACAGCAGTGGGTGGGGAGGTTCTTAAGCCGAGTTGCCTGGTCAGGACCAATAATATTTCTGATTCTTCATTGGATTTTTACGAAGACCGTGCTTGAAGAGACGTCTATTGTTTTATCATTCTGTTACTTTGTTCAATTTAAACACCCATATTTGTATAGTCGCTCTTGCGCATGCGTATCTAAGCCCATAATATCAATCAGTCCACACATCCCCCAAAAAAAAAAAAAAAAAAAAACACTTACCCTCCGCTCACCGCCTCGCTTCTTCTGAGTGACTTCCTTTTACGAAAATCCCCCGGGGGATTTCTTAACATCTCTCCGACGGTAAAATGTTCTTCATTTACGGGCACGACGCCTGCCATGTTTCATTTTCTGCCAGCCATCTTTTATGAACGTGAAGATTGTAAAACTAATGTTGACGAGTGCCTATCCCAAGAGGCAGGCTCAACGTCTTTACCTGAGCGAATCAGTCAGATTTGAACTCTGTTCATAAAGCCTTGTGCTGTGTACCATTCATCTTTGACGTTTAGTGAAATGCAATTACATCTCTTTCGCCGTTGTCTGTTTTCAGACTTTTGCGGCCTGTAAATTTATTGTTTCTTTTCATTCAGCCATTTCCTTCTTCTTCTTTTTTCCTTCTATCATTTCTTCTACCTTTTTAGCACCACCACCACCTTCTTCTTCTTCTTCACCATTTGCTTTTATTTCTTCTTTTTCTTCTTCTTCTTCTTCTTCTTCTTCTTCTTCTTCTTCTTCTTCTTCAGCCATTTGCTTTTATTCCTTCTACCTTTTTAGCACCCCTACCTTCTTCTTCTTCTTCTTCTTCTTCCATTTGATTTTTTCCTTTATTTTAGCACCCTACCTTCTTCTTCTTCTTCTTCTTCCTTCTTCTTCTTCTTCTTCTTCTTCTTCTTCTTCTTCTTCTTCAGCCATTTGCTTTTATTCCTTCTACCTTTTAGCCTTCTACCTTCTTTTCTTCTTCTTCTTCTTCTTCTTCTTCTTCTTCTTCTTCTTCCTTCTTTAGCCATTTGCTTTTATTCCTTCTACATTTTTTTTCTTCTTCTTCTTCTTCTTCAGCCATTTGCTTTTATTCCTTCTACCTTTTTCTTCTTCTTCTTCTTCTTCTTCTTCTTTTCTTCTTCTTTTTCTTTTTTATTCTTCTTCTTCCTTTTTAGCAATACTACCTTCTTCTTCTTCTTCTTCTTCTTCTTCTGCCATTTGCTTTTTATTCCTTCTACTTCTTTTTCTTCCACTTCCTCCTTCTCCTCCTCCTCCTTCTTCTTCTTCTTCTTCTTCATTTTTGCTTTTATTCCTTCTACCTTTTTAGCACCACTACATCCTCCTCCTCCTCCTCCTCCTTCTTCTTCTTCTTCTTCAGCCATTTGCTTTTTTATTCCTTCTCTTTTTTTAGCACCCCCCTTCTTCTTCTTCTTCTTTTTTCTTCTTCTTCTTCTTCTTCTTTCTTCAGCCATTTGCTTTTATTCCTTCTACCTTTTAGCACCCCTACTTTCTTCTTCTTCTTCTTCTTCTTCTTCTTCTTCTTATTCTTTTCTTCTTCTTCTTTAGTCATTTGCTTTTATTCCTCCTACCTTTTTAGCAATACTACCTTCTTCTTCTTCTTCTTCTTCTTCTTCTGCCATTTGCTTTTATTCCTTCTACTTCTTTTAGCACCACTTCCTCCTTCTCCTCCTCCTCCTCCTTCTTCTTCTTCTTCTTCAGCCATTTGCTTTTATTCCTTCTACCTCTTTTAGCACCACTACATCCTCCTCCTCCTCCTCCTTCTTCTTCTTCTTCTTCAGCCATTTGCTTTTATTCCTTCTACCTCTTTTAGCACCACTACCTTCTTCTTCTTCTTCTTTTCTTCTTCTTCTTCTTCTTCTTCTTCTTCTTCTTCTTCTTCAGCCATTTGCTTTTATTCCTTCTACCTTTTTAGCACCCCTACCTTCTTCTTCTTCTTCTTCTTCTTCTTCTTCTTCTTCTTCTTCTTCTTCTTCTTCTTCTTCTTCAGCCATTTGCTTTTATTCCTTCTACCTTTTTAGCACCACTACCTTCTTCTTCTTCTTCTTCTTCTTCTTCTTCTTCTTCTTCTTTAGTCATTTGCTTTTATTCCTCCTACCTTTTTAGCAATACTACCTTCTTCTTCTTCTTCTTCTTCTTCTTCTGCCATTTGCTTTTATTCCTTCTTCTTCTTCTGCTTTCCTCTTTCTCCACCTCCTCCTCCTCCTCCTTCTTCTTCTTCTTCTTCTTCAGCCATTTGCTTTTATTCCTTCTACCTTTTTAGCACCACTACATCCTCCTCCTTCTTCTTCTTCTTCTTCTTCTTCTTCAGCCATTTGATTTTATTCCTTCTACCTTTTTAGCACCCCTACCTTCTTCTTCTTCTTCTTCTTCTTCTTCTTCTTCTTCTTCTTCTTCTTCTTCTTCTTCTTCTTCTTCTTCTTCTTTTTGCTTTTTTATTCCTTCTTCTCTTTTAGCACCACTACTTCTTCTTCTTCTTCTTCTTCTTCTTCTTCTTCTTCTTCTTCTTCTTCTCCGTCACCGTTTCGTATTATTTTATATCAAATTTCCTTCTTTTAGCGACCACTCCTTCTTCTTTTTCTTATTCTATGTCTCTTTTTTCTGATTATCTACACCTTCTTCTTTTTCTTTTCTTCTTTTTTGTCTTCTTCTATCCTGTTTTCCTCTCGTTTAGCAAGCCCCTCTTCCTCCTCCTTCAAAATATCTTTGTCTCTTTCTTTCTGATCAGCAACACCTTCTCCATTATCATGTGCTTCTTTTCACTTGCTTTGTGATTAACAACTTTTTCTTGTATGTCCAATTTATTTCCGTTTAGTAACTTCTCCTCGTACTCCTCCTTCTGCCATTTCTTCTTTTGCTTCTTCTCCCTCTTCTTTTTTTGGCACTTTCTTTCCGTTCAGTAACTCCCCCTGTATTCTTCTTCTTTTTCTCTTTCTTTTTATTTAGCAAATCCCTTTCTTCCCCTTCTCTTTCTTCTCCTCCTCCTGTTTTTCTTTCTATTCAGTAACTCTTTTTTTTTCTTTTTCGATATCACTTTCCTTCCGTTTAGTAACTCCTTACTCTTCTTCTTCTTCATTATTCTTCGTTCCGCTTAGCAACTCCTTTTCTTTTTTTATGTCATTTCCTTTCCGTTTCAGCTTCTTATCTTCTTTCTTTCTTTCTTTCTTTCTTTTCCTCTTATTCGCTGTCTCTTTTCTTCTTGTTTTATATCACTCTCCTCTCGTTTACCAACACCACCTTCTGCATTTTTTTCGTCTTCTATATCGCTTTGTTTTTGATTAGCAACGCTCTCTTCTTCTTCTTCTTCTTCTTCTTCTAATTTGGTCGTTTGACACTTTTTAACCACATTTGCCCTTCTTCTTTTTCCTATCTAACCTTGTTGTTGTTATTGTTGTTTTTGTTGTTGTTTTTGTTGTTGTTGTTGTTGTTGTTTTTTTTCTTCTTCTTCTTCTTCTTCTTCTTCTTTTTCTAATTTGGTCGTTTGACACTTTTTAACCACATTTGCCCTTCTTTTTCCAATCTAACCTTGTTGTTGTTATTTTTGTTTTTGTTGTTGTTTTTGTTGTTGTTGTTGTTGTTGTTTTTCTTCTTCTTCTTCTTCTTCTTCTTCTAATTTGGTCGTTTGACACTTTTTAACCACATTTGCCCTTCTTTTTCCTATCTAACCTTGTTTTTGTTATTTTGTTTCTGTTGTTGTTGTTGTTTTTTTCTTCTTCTTCTTCTTCTTCTTCTTCTTTTTCTAATTTGGTCGTTTGACACTTTTTAACCACATTTGCCCTTCTTTTTCCAATCTAACCTTGTTGTTGTTATTGTTGTTTTTGTTGTTGTTTTTCTTCTTCTTCTTCTTCTTTTTCTTCTTCTTCTTTTTCTAATTTGGTCGTTTGATACTTTTTAACCACATTTACCCTTCTTCTTTTTCCTATCTAACCTTGTTGTTGTTATTGCTGTTTTTGTTGTTGTTCTTGGTTTTATTGTTGCTGTTGTTGTTGTTGTTCGTCTTCTTTTTCTTCTTCTTCTTCTTCTTCTCGTTTGCCTCTTTCTTTTCTAACCAGATTTACCCTTCTTCCTTTATTTACCACCTTCGACAACTCCTTTGCTTGTATTTCTTTTCTTTTTTCCTTTTTTGTCCCACTTCTTTCTTTTTCTTCGTTTACTTTCCTTTTTCACTTTCCATATTTTCTTCATCTCTTTATCGAATACCAAGTGATTCTATACATTACTCGACTCGATCCCCTGCTGCCCCTCCCCCGGTCCAAATCAGCATTTCAATAACCAGATATCAGAATACTGATTTGGGAAATTAGGCCAGACCGAGACCTTTTCAGTATCTACTCGTTCTAAATATATTCCATTTCCTATTCATTTACCATTTCCTATATCTTCGATTATATTTCTCTAAAATTCTGTTTCCAAAGTCCCATCAATTTGTGCTATTTTAGTATTTCTAATGTTCTTTCATATTTCTTTATTCTCCTTCAAGATGCACGAGATGGGATTATCACTAGCCGAAACGTGCAGCTAGGCCTAACATTGGCCTTCTTGAAATGCAGACCAAACGACTCTTCGATGCCGAGCAGTAGAGGAAATTTTACGTTGTCCATGTTATCCAGTTGGCGGTAAAATGAATGAAAGACATTTAGAGTGAGCGTGCTAACCACAGGTTTTGCGTGAAATTTTGCGAGTATTATTACTTAGTCGTATTATTTAACCCATAGCTAGGGTGAGATGTATTGATATCTTTCCTAATGAGACTTGCACATAAGAGAAAGTAACGTATGAGACTGGTTGAGTTGTATAACTTACAACAAAAGAAATTTAAGTATCTTCTAAAAAACACGCTAATGCTTAAATAGTCAAAAATGTATTCAAAGATATTAAATGTTGCCTATACTCGTGTATAAGACGACTTTGTGCCACTTCGCAGCCTGATTTTTTGGTATGGATTTTAGCCCCTCCAAACAAGATTTACCTGTGTATAGTGAAATCGGTCACAGAAAATTAATGATTTTTAACATTTAAAAACTGAATATAGTGACCCACGTGAACAATGATCATAAGAACTATGATTATACTAGAAAATATGCAAAAATATGACTATAAATATGATTATAAATATGACCATGAGTATACTAGAGTATATTCAGCAAGTATGACTATGAATATGATTATAAATATGATTATGACTAATGTATATACGGTAAGTATGACTATAAATATTACTATGGTTATACTAGATTATATGCGATAAATATGACTATAAATATGACTATAAATATCACTATGAATATACTAGGGTGTATGCGATAAATATGACTATAAATATGACTATGACTATCCTAGAGTGTATGCGGTAAATATGACTATAAATATGACTATGACTATACGAGAACATATGTGATAAATATGACTTTAAATAGGACTATGAATATACTATAGTGTATTCGGTAAATATGACTATAAAAATGACTATGACTATACAAGATCATATGCGATAAATATGACTATAAATATGGCTATAAATATACTAGTGTATGCGGTAAATATGACTATAAATATGACTATGACTATACAAGATCATATGCCATAAATATGACTATAAATATGACTATAAATATGAAAGATATACTAGATGCGATAAATATGACTATAAATATGATTATGACTATACTAGAGTATATGCGATAAATATGACTATAAATATACTAGTGTATACGGTAAATATGACTATAAATATGACTATGACTATACAAGATCATATGCCATAAATATGACTATAAATATGACTATAAATATGAATGTGACTATACTAGAGTGTATCCGGTAAATATGACTATAAATATGATTATGACTATACTAGAGTATATGCGATAAATATGACTATAAATATACTATGAGCATGCTAGAGTATATGTAGTAAATATGACTATAAATGTGACTCTGAGTATACTAGAATATATGAGGTAAATATGGCTATAAATATGAATATACTAGAGTATGTGCAGTAAATATGACTATAAATATTACTATGACTATACTAGATTATATGCGATAAATATGACTATAAATATGTCTATAAATATCACTATGAATAGACTGTGAATATACTAAAGTGTATGCGGTAAATATGACTATAAATATGACTATGACTATACTAGAGCATATGCGATAAATATGACTATAAATATGACTATGAGCATACTAGAATATATGCATTAAATATGACTATAAATTTGACTGTCTATACTATAGTATATGCAGTAAATATGACTATATACCTGACTGTGACGATACTAGTGTATATGCGGTAAATATGACTATAAATATGACTATGAATATACTAGAATATATGCGGTAAATACGACTATAAATATGACTATACTAGAGTATGTGCAGTAAATATGACTATAAATATTGCTATGACTATACTAGTTTATATGCGGTAAATGTGACTCTAAATATGACTATACTAGTGTATATGCAGTAAATAGCATGGCTACTAGCTTGTCCAAACTTTATTCATATGAAAAACATGTACTTCATCATTTATGAATCTGAGTAAGACTATTTCTTCTGCGTATCACCACCTTTTATCAGTAGGCATTTTCTCGTCTCTCCAAGGCGACGGGGTGTGACATAAGGTTGCGTTTAATGTTGGGCACCCGAGCGCATAAACCCGAGCCAGAGCCGAATATTTTCCAGTCCCCAGACAAGGCTATGTCGAAGGGCAGAGTCTCGTTCCGTGAAACAACTACCCAAACCCGTTTTATACATGATCTACGGTTAATTTTTGCCCCCCCCCTACGGGCTCGGATACCTCACATTATATTCGTCCTTGTGCCACATTTGATCGCGTGGGGCGGTTGGCAGATATCCTACAGTTGGAGATTCGTCTCCAACTATGCTGGTCAAACTCTACTTTGGGCAGAGGGGATCCCCAGACGAGGCTATGCCGAAGGGCAGATGTCATCTCGGAAAACAACTACCCGACTCCGTTCTATACGGGGTCTACTGGGAATTTTTGGCCAAGCCTACGGGTTTGGATACCCCAAATTAAATTCGGCATTGTGCCACATCTGATCGCGTGGGGTGTAGATATCTTACAGTTGAAGATTCATTGTGGAATTCACTTGACTCACTTCTTGCAGTTTACTACTTCTACGCGCCGCTGGCGAATCTTTTACGCGTTGTTCTTGTCCTAAGTATTATCGTTCATTACCAACCTTCGTTTAATTATTCTGTTCAGTAACCATCCCTAGGTCACAACACTTCTATATAATAAATGCCAAATCTCTATGCGTCGCACCTTGTCAACTTTACATCTTGAGGCCGTAGCCCAACGTATCATACCATTTTGGAGTCAGACCGAAACCCTGAATATATTAAAAACATTCATTGTCGGATCCGTTCGCGCAATCCTTAAATTTTGGATTCCCAAGTTTTCATTGCTGTTAGTGTTTTCGGCAATTTTTTACGTGATTTTTTGCAACGAATTTTTTGTACGATAACATTTTTATAATAATTTAATATTTCCTCTTTGTTATTTATATTTAATTCGAATCTAAAAATGTCCCATATAGACATTTTAAACTATGCTTTTGTCCCAAATGATTTATTTTTTTTTATCCTGCTCTTATTAAAATAAATTATATCTTTTTTAGTGGTAAGTTAAAATAACCCCAGCTTTCAAAATAGTAAGCATTGTTGTCGTCTGACTTTGCACATTCCTACAAATTGACCTTATGTATTCAAGGAAAAAGTATAAAATTGCCTAAATACGTCAAAATAATCTGCTTATCGTCAAGAGTAATGTCCAACACGTACAGAAATGTTGAAACTGTCTACTCTATACAACTGCTATCGCAAATAAATTACTTAAAATGGCTTCGAGTGTATGAATCTATGGGGTGACTTCACCACATTAATTTAACTTTGAAAACACGACTCACGCAAGAATAACCACAAGGCATTGTTGCACATAAAATATATGTATATTAACAAGATGTACAATATCAAACAACGATGTGAAAGAAAACATGCATTTAAGTAAAAAAGTTTGAATTAATCAAGAGTTGCCTCCCTTTGAATGCAATTTAAGAGTTCAGTGAGAGATAGTTATTTAGTTTAAAGTTAATTAGACAAAAGTTCATGAGAGTTTCATGACATGATTGTTCTTGTGATATTACCGTTGAAAAGTATTGTGCCAAAAGAAGTTTTTAGTGAAGGTGTATAAATTATTATCAGCATGTGGGTGTCCGTGTGAGTGAGAAGGTTGGCGCGTGGTTAGAACTGAAGTTCCAACTGTCGTAGATTCGTTTAGCAGTTGAGGTCTCACTAATTGAGATGAGAAAAATCTTGGCTTAAATAAGCGACTAGAGGCTCCGATTCGTTGCGCGGGAAAAATTATTCTTCACGTGCAAACGATCTGATTGGTTGGCATCAATCAATCAGCGAGCGAGCTTTGGGGAGACATAAGAAAGCTTCTGTGAGCCACTTCTACCAAAAGTGAACAAATTTGACTACGTAATTAGCTCTGATCTGGCATCTCGTCTGCAGTCGCTCTCTCACAAACGTGCCGTTGCCTCCCTCTGTCTTTTTTTTTTACAAATACTTTCATGGTAACAGCTCCAATGAGCTGTTTTCGTTGGTTCCCAGACTTCATGAATTTAAGCGTTTTACTGGGCTAGCATCTCGCTCTCACCCTTTCACTGTCGAAACTGTTAAATGTAGCCGTCTCTTCTACTACATTAGCTTCATGTCTCACACCTCTCGCCTGTGGAACTCCTTCCCCTTTTCCTGTTTCCCTGATAGCTATAATCTCCAAATATTCAAATGTAATCTCAACCGATGTCTCCAGATGCCTTGACCTATTTCCTATTCTTCACTTCATCCTTTTTTCTATCACTCCTATTTGTTCTGGCTCCAACTCTCTGTAACCCCTTGCGTGCTAGTGGATTCCCGCCTTGCTTGGGGTGAAACGATTAAAAAAAAAAAAAAAAAAACTATCCATTTTGCATAACACCTCCACTTTTAACGCCCGTTAGAGCCACTCTAGCGCATGCTTGATTGGAATAGCTGAACAAATTTCTGAGGAAAGGCGCCATCTTTGAATTTTAAACATTACTGTAATGTTATTTTTATATATGTGAGTTGGGGAGGATAAATTGTATAAAACAAAACCCTCACTAAAAATTAAAACATTTGAAAAAC